TTATCAGCAGTCATGACAGAAAGAATCTGGGCTGCGTATGGAACGCGTTTAATTTATTACAAAAACCACTGGTTCGAGCCGAACTATAGGGTCAACAACCTTGGTCAATTCATCAATTCTTGGAGTTTGAGTTGTTGCTGTCGCATTCCCTCTTGGAAGCCAGCTAAGCGTTGCTCGGAAGTTGCATGAGATGTCTCGAGAGAATATGCATACTGGGCGATAGAGGAAGCGGTTTCGGTGGCGGAAAGGTCAAACGGATTGTTATAGACCAAGTAGTGATCTCCGCTATCGTTGTATCCAACTACGTAGTTTTCTGTTTCTTCCATAATACCATATTGACCCATAGCCATAAGATCGTAATCAGTAGAAGACATTTCGGTTTGGGAGGAAGAACCATGCGGTTGCTGCAAAAAGTTTGCGGTTCTCAATGAAGATGATGACTCGTAGGGGGCTGAATCAAGAACGAAACCGTCATCGACTGGCAGGGTGGCATGAGCGTTTACATCAAGTTGATTATACATGTGGTTCAGATGATCGACTTCACTCAATATTGATTGTGACATGGCCAAGTTATGCGAAGACAACAATAAGTCACTCTGGTTGTCCAATGACTTGCCAGCTTCATAACGAAGAGCTGATGGTGACCGTCCATATTGGCTGGTCATATGAAACGTAGGTGGCGAAAGAGAAGCAGGAGAACCGACAAAGGGTGAGAGTACAGGTGTCGATGCAGTGGAGTCACTCGTCCACGAACTGACAGAATCAGCTGATGAAGCTCTGTAATGTCCGAACAGAGCCTTCTTGTGAAGATGCATATAATATTCTTCCTGTTCATCACTAACGGGATCAAATGTCAAGGGATACACAAGTTTATTGTCTTCTGAGCCATAGCCATCAGTAAACATCATGTTGGCAGAATCTGAACCAGTCTTCTTGCGTACGGTCTTGATGGATTTTGGGGTGTTGGGGCTCTTGATGTTTTGTTTCTTCTTTTGAGGTTTGAACTTGTAGTCAGGATACTTGAGTTTGTGTTCCATTTTAAGCTGCTTAGCACGTTCTCTCCAGAATTCTTTGACTTCCTCTGGCTCGTTGTTCCATAAGTTAGCAGCAAGAACCGACACAACCTTGTTATTCATACCGGGATTCTCAGCTAAGAACTTCTCCTTTATATGCTCTCTGTAGGCCATGAAACAGTTCTTGGGACGAGGAATGTAGTTCTTGTCAGCTTTACGCTTACGATACGCTGATAGTCGCGTGGTAGTGGTTGTTGTAGTGGTTGTTGTAGTGGTTGTTGTAGTCTGTGATGCATCAATGCTCTTAGCTTTAGGGATATTCACTGGTTTCGAACAAGAAGAGTAAGAGTCACAGTCTGACGAGCCACTGTCAGCTGTTGC